CCAGTACCTTCCCTCCTATGAGGATGAGGACTCCAACTGACCCCAACTGTCATGGTTTATGTTGGTGGCCCCAGGCCTCATGCATTTGCATTGTGCATTTGTGATTAGTTCATTATATAGCTCTTGGATTGGGGGTGTGAGTGCTACACCCACATGGGGTGGAGCCAGGATGTGATGTAATGGCAGGAAGGTGTGTCCTGCTCTCTTTTGCTGGTTTCTGCCTTGCTGTTTGCAGCCGCCATGAACTGTGGCCCAGCCATGCCTGCCTGCCTTGGAGCCAACTGAGTATGGACTGAAACCTCCAAAACCTGTAAGAAATAAACCTTACCTTTCCCAACTTTTGACATCCTTACTTAATTCTACTATAGTCCAAATCCCAAACAAAAAGGCAAAACTTGACCTTCAAACCTTAGAGAGATCTTAATATGGTTTTTTATATTTTTAACACTTGTGACACTTGGAGTTCTGAGACAGGTAAACCTACACAAGGTGGAGCTGCCTGCCCCCTCCATGGACCACGCTCAAATGCAGCAGAAGATACTGGACAAAAAATGCCCCATCCTGGCATTCTTTGAGACCTTACTCCAGGGCTACTGGACTGTCCTAGCCACCAGAGAGTGGGTAAGCCATCCTAAGTTCTAGCCCTCATAGGAAATGTCAACACTGCCAGATTTGTCACCGACAAAAAATCGCTGCTGGAGGCTGAGGGGGTTCAGGACAACAACAGCCCCCTTTAAGGTGTCCGTCTCAGATTCCAAGTCGCACTACAGTCTCAGGTAAGATATTCTCTATATTTGTGGACATAGAGGCCATATATACAGGATTCTTCCTGAGTATTCAGGTTGCTATATTAAACCAATCTCTATGACATGGTATTGATGGTCAACCTATGCCATTTACAAACAGGCCCATTTTTATACAGGCCCCAGTCCTAAATCATAAAATACTTTTATTCCCTTTTAAACTGCCATTCTGGTTTCACATCACTCAGGCCCTAGATCTAACCATCCTTTTGATGCTCATCTCTGCCTTATGACTCACAGGTTGTCATGTTTTGTTGTCCAGTTTGATTCTTAATTTCTTACATTCTATTAATAATCATTTCTATAGCAGGAGTCCTTAACACGGTTGCCTACAGACTCCAACATCATATATACCAGAGACAAGCCTTACCTACCTACCTTTTAACTTTTATGCTTTCGTAGGGGGGAGTAAACACCTCTCATAACTTCACTCCTCCTAATCCCACGTTTATTTTTCAGAATTCTGCCTTGCCACCTCAACGTCACCCTGATAAAATACCATCTCAAAACCAAAGTCACCTTCCTATCTACCTCACCTGGGTCCTTAAATATAATAGTGCCATGTCTCCTAATAACATTATGTCTCTTTGTTTTTCCAGTCTGACATACGTACATTCACCAGTAAAGTTGTCCTGGCTAAAACACCTGGCATCAGTGTCTACCTGGGCATCAACCTTCATCCCGTCAAACTCCCCTAGACTCCAATACAGCGCCCTCAGCCAGCAGGAAGTAGTTACGGAGAGAGATCTTCGCCCCTTTTCCTAATAACCAGAAGACGGGATATGAAAGAGTTGCCGGCCCAGATGGAACACTGTAACCAGAAAAGGCTGCAGCTAAACTCCTCCCCCCCCTGCCCCCTGCACTTGATTGTAACCCTATATCCCCATCCTTAAGGACCTGTGTGCCAATGAGATACCTGTACATCTCTAATGGCCTTTGGGGCACTGCCCTAAGCTTAGGCTATTTAGATTCCCCCACGCCACGTGTCCGAAGAGTTCGCCAGAGGGAGTTCGCCAGAGAGAGTTTGCCAGAGAGAGAGAGACCACCCGGCCCGGGTGTAGAGATGCTGCGCCCGGGGCCGGCGATAGGGGCCCCCTCCCCACATTCCCGGAATAAAGCCACCGCTGACCACTACTTTCACGGCCGTCTACTCCGCTCCATCCCTCCCACGGACTTCTCCTCTCCTCCCCCTTCTCCCAGACCTAACAGAAAGTCCTAGAAACCATGACACCTTCTGACAAGGGATTTGAAGGCATGAAACTTGGAGCCAAAATAAATATTTTTTCTTCTTAAATTTATTATCTCAGGGATTATTTTGCAGTGAAATAAGGCAGATCAACACACTAAGGAATTTTAAAGTTAAGAGAAAACTACAGAAAGGAGATAAAGGCAGATACTACAAGAGGCCACTGATACTGGGGGCCATTAAGTAGTTGATCTCATACCAAAAGAGAAACTGAGTGATCTTGGTTGGGTGTATGGACCAGATGGATAAGTGGAGAGCTGATTGCTAGTGCTCTCTGTGTTGCAGATGTTTCCTACACAAGGGAAGACACAAGTCCCACTGCTCTGTGACAGAGCATAAAATTCACACCTGAATACACTACTCCTGAATACATTACTAAACAATCTAGAATTACATCTGCAAAGCCTCAAAGGGGCACAGTGCAAGGAAATCAACTCACATTGAATAGGAATTCAAACTGTGTTTGATCTATTTCAAGAAAACCAAATTTAATTTGTTCAGTGGAAGCAGCCAAGCACCCAGCTGCTTCTAACCAGGTTTCTGTCAGGGAACTCAACCTGAGGACTCAAGATATCAGCACTGTGGTCCTGCTCCTCAGTGCTTAGACAGATCCTGAGCCCTTGATTCAGAGAGACAGAGGCTTCTTTTCAGCAGCATTGTGCACTAAGCTGTTCCCTGGAGCAGCACTGGGGCTTGTGAATCCCCTGGTTCCACCACCTTTCACACAGCAGTGGACAGAGGCAGCAGTGAGAGACAAGCTGAGAAGAGGAGGCTGCTCCCCACCCCTCTCCTGAGCATAGGAAACCAGCCTGAGGGGGCAGCAGGACTTCCTCTGTCTCCAGCTGCAGCTACAGAACCTCAGTTCAAAGTGGATCCAGGTGGTGTGGAGTAGATGGAAGCAGCATCTGGAGTCATTGCCTAGGAGAGTGAACTGCATGCCCAAGTGCATGAAAAACCCACCCCTAAACTGCTTTCTACACCAGTGAGTGCATGCTGAAGTGCAGGTGGCAGCAGACATGAGACATGAGCTGAACTGGGAGATCTTGGTTTTCACAGGGACAAAGAGTAGGCAGCACCAAGTGTGTCCAGAGTGAGAGCAGACAGCAGATGTGTGGACCAAGCACTGGGACAGCTCCCACCTCAGGGCAGTGCTGGGCATAATATGACATTCAGTCTTTTAGTCATGGACCATGTCCAGGGAGAGACAAGAGAGGAGTCAAATTTCATTTGGCTATAGCAAATATGCAGGAAAAGGACTGCTACATTTAGGAGAAGTATAATTTTTTTTAAGAAGATGCAGTCTCCTTCAGTACACTGCTGTCCATTTTTTTACATGAGGAAATAAATCACGGGAAAGTGTTCTCATTAGTGATGCCTCTTTCTCAGCCTCTGAGGCAATCTTCTCAAGTATTTAAATTTTTTAGACTATGTATGGACAGTTTTGTGTCTCACCTATGTTAATAGGCAGTTAAGATAAGCAGATGATATATTCATCAAAGATAGGTAGATGAAAGTTTATGAAATAGTTAAGATGTGCATGGACAGAGTAATACAAAATAGTCAAATTTTGGATGATACAAGCACAAAAAGCAGAAAATAGCAAGACACAAACTTAAAAGATAGATAACAAGTACATGAACAAATAATGAATTTACATTAGATACAAAAATGAAAGCAAATTTATAGAAGGTTGATATGTCAAAACAAATATGACAGAGCATAGATGGATACAGTGATGACAGATGGAAATAGAGACACATAGCTTGATAGACAGATGATAGAAAGATGAATAGATAATTATATTAAAATCATTTCCCAGGTTCCTTCTGTAATTTTTATTTTGTTCCTAATTTTGAAATGTTGAACAAATGACTGGTTATGTATCTGAACCTCTAGACATAGAGCAACCATGAGTTGCATATTAGAGAATCAACGTAACAGCATTTTCCCATGTCCCCAAATCCCTGTGATCCCAAATCTTTCTCCTAACCATTATATGTGAGACAGGAGTTACAGTCCAGTCCTGACCCAGCCTTGTCCTCAGGGACTCAGGAGAACACAAAGAGAGCTGGAGTCCAGGTTCCTGTATGAGTAGGTCCTGGCCTCCTCTCTGGTCTAGACTTTACTGTGGGAACCTTGTTCATTCACGAATCCATGGTCAGGTTCCCAGGTCAACTGACAGATGAGGATAGCAGTGTTTCCAAATATGCTGACAGCTGCTTGCAGAGATGTCCAAATTTTATAAAGGGTAATGTAAATGTAGTAAATCCATGTTGTAATACAAACAGACATGATATATAAGACATTCCATAAGAGTTTCTGAGACTCAGCGCTACTGACACTAGGTCCTTATAAATACTATTTGGGCAGTTCCCTATGATAGCAGGATTTGTGACAGTGTAATGGTCTCTACCAATGAAATGCCGAGAGGCCCTTCCACAGTGGAATCTACCACAGCTCCCCAACACATCGCCCTACACTGCCAAAGATGTGAAAATGAACATCTCCAGTAACAGGTGATCACTCAGATCAACACAAAGTGATGTCAAGCCATTCAGAGTAAAAGTCTCTGCATGATCAGATTTGGAAAGAGACCTTTAGGATGAAATGTCTTGCAAATGCATTAGAGGGTAGCGGGCAGACTTCTAGTCAACAAGGAAATAATTTTCATGGTTAAATAATTCTACACTTAAAAACTATTGAAACAGTGGAATCACTTGTCCTGAGAACAATGGCTTCATTGCAAATGCATTGTGCAATGAACCATGAAATGGATGGGTACACCAATAAAAGCCTGATTCTGTGAAAATATAACCCTGTAGGATCAGCGACATAGAAGGTCCATAAAATCTCTGTCCCGAAGCTGGCTCCTTAGAGCAGTGTGTGCAGCTCGCCCCCTGCTGGATGTGAGTTTCCCTGCAGGGAGGTTTATGTCTGGGCCCACACTTGCATTAAAACACTGTGATTCTTGCACAGTAATAGGTGGCTGTGTCCTCTGCAGTGACAGAGGTCAGCCGCAGAGAGAACTGGTTCTTGCCTTTGTCTCTGGAGATGGAGATGCGTCTTTTGAAGGATGGGTAGTAATTAGTGCTACCATCGTATCTTATGTACCCCATCCACTCCAGGCTCTTTCCTGGGGGCTGACGGACCCAGTTCCAATAGTAATAACTGGTTGTGATGGAGAATCCAGAAACTGAGCAGGTGAGGGACAAGGTCTGTGAAGGCTTTACCAGGCTGGGCTCTGACTCCTGCAGCTGCACCTGGGACAGGACACCTGGAAATAATAAAAAGCATCCAGTCGATCACCTGCTTTGATAGCCTTTCCATGGACCCATGTCTTATACTGATGGCACTCACCATGAGTGGCTACCACCAGGCACAGGAGAAGACTCTGCAGTCTCATCTTGTAGATTACACTGCTGGCTTTCTGGGAGACTTCAGTCCTCTCTGTGGATGGAGCTGTAAGCTCACACAACTGTGAGCAGATTATGAATCTAAAGTTGGAGCAGATATTTGCATATAGGGTGCACACTTCTTATATGAGGGGGACATTAAAACCGGGCTATGTCTGCTCCTTTTGTACTACAGAGAGGAACCTCCTATTCTGAATTTCAGCTGGGTTTGAGTCTGTTGTAAGTGGGAAGTTCAATTTAGAGGAGTGGTAGAAGCAGGGATATCATGGCCCCATCTTCCTGATCCCAGAGATGGATTCCTCCTGGCCTTTCTCCCTTCATGTATCCTAGTCCATCTCTCTTCCCATACAAGCTCTGGTACTAGCTCTCAGGAACAGACTTAGCACAGATCCCTGTGTGTCTCTCTGGTACACCTGCCTCCTGCTCTAAGTCATTCTATGATCCAAGTCCCACCTGAGCCAGCCAGCAGAAACTGCAAATAAGGATGTGAGCCCTGCTCTTTCCTCATAGAGAAGTTTGTAATCCCTTCAGAAGAGAAGGAGGCTATCAGTGTTAGGGTTCCTGTCCCTAAATAACCTTGTGGAGCATTTATGTGATCACTGCCTGTCTAGATTTGGCTTCTGCTCTTTTTGTCTGGATGGTATTTCTATATTATAAATATTGAATTTTCTGCTTTGAACATTATATATTGTGGATGCCCTGTGAACTTTAGCAATGCCCCTAATATTGAGTGTGAACCCTTGCTAATTATATTGTATCGGTTTTCTTTTTGTATGGTTTTCTGAAAGATAATGTCACTTTATTTTTTAGGATATGAGGTTGACCATTAACTCACTACGCTATGTGGCAAAGGGCAGCCTAAATTGTGTTGTGATCTTCCTGCCTCATCCAACTAAGGGTCAGAATTTCAGGGTTGTGACACCATGTCTGGTGCAAGACACACATTTGCTTTGCTTTGTTTTGTGAGAATGAATTTTATTACAAGTTCACCTTAGTCTTGATCTTCTGATTCTATTTCTTCAGACCTCCATTTTCTGGCAGTATTCATATGGACCAGCATTCCTGCTTTGCAATCCCATTTTTGTTTTTTCTAATCATACATAGAAACGTAGCTTCAGACCATACTGAGTTCCCTCAGTTGGTAGTTGATTTGGTCCCTAGTTCTACTCCATTTTTAATGTCTTATGTTGCAGACCACTACAAAGTGGCTCTGAGCAGGACTTAAATTTTACTAATTGGCTTTCTATGTTAATCTGTGAGTCTGTACTAGGCCTAGGCCCCTTGCCTGGTGAGAGGAGCTGATTCATAGTAAGTGAACCTCTATGAATCACTGGTCCTGGTTGAGGCCTGTAGTGGCCTGTGAGGCCAGAGATACCTCAAAGAGCCAGATAAGGCCATAGCTGCAGATACTCTGGCTCCGACCCCAATTAACAAGGTAGAGACTGCAGCTGCAAAGATTACTCCTACAGTCTCACTTCTACCATGTCTTCATGATGAGACAGTGCTACTGAATTGACTTGATTCATTAGTTGGAGACGTCCTTGAAGTGACTCCCAAGGTCCTGCTCATTTCCTGCATTTTTCTCAGTTTCTCCGCCCTTGTCCTTGGTCCTAATATAATGGACAGACCCAGAAAATACTTTGTCTATACCGTTGAAGCTTCAAACTTAATTAAATGATTTTGACCTTCTTGGAGCCCTAAAAATCATATGATTTGTTTTGTTTAATTTAACCTCTGCCATACACTCCTTTGAGAGATCGGGGCTCTTGGATAGAACCCAATAACTGGTGCCCAGAACAGGGACTTAAAATCTTTGGACTGGGAATTTATAGCCTGAATGAGTAAGTCTGCCCTGAGTGGAAAGTTTTGGATACGGAGGAGGCCTTCACAGGACAAAAACTTTGCCAGGGATGCCTGGAGAGAAGAGAAGGGAAAAAAGGGTGAGTCTTCCTGCTGTGAAAAGCCTTTTTTTCTGAGAGTAAAATATGGGGCAAAATGTTTCAGCCTAGGAGCAAATGTATTTACAACTACTCCAAGGCCTGCTTAAACACTCAGGGGCTCGTTTAACAAAGAAAGACTTAAAAAAATGTTAAAAGAGGTAACCAAATATATTCCATGGTTTCCTCAAACAGGCACTGCATATATCGATATTTGGGAAACAGTTGGAAAAAATATTAAAAAGGCCTATAGGGCAGAACAAATCATTTCCCCTGATAGGTTTTCAACTTGGAATTTGGTCATGTCAGTTTTAAGTCCATTAAAAAGCTCTCAGTCAGACTCTGATTTGGATACAGAAGGAAAGGAGATCCCTGCTGAGGTGTCTGCCACCAAAACAAAATCCCAAGAGGGATTGCCTCAGCCAGAGCCAGAACCTTTACAAAACATGTATCATAGAGCTCTATCCAGAAATTTACAGATTGTGCAGGTGTGTGGGGGAGATGGGGTGAAGGCATTTGCAAAGGGAGCAAATAATACCCTCCCTGCTTGCTTCTCAGTTGGAATTGTAACAGGTGATTGATAGAACTGTGGAGGGGAGGAAGAGGAGGAGGGCTGGCGGCTGCTGAAAAGATAAGAAATATAAAATATAAGTAACCTTTATTTTGGGAATGCGGGGAGAGACACCCCCGACCACCTGGGGCATGGCATCCCCACCCCAGGGCTGGCGATCTCTCCAATCTCTCCATGGAACACGTGGAGTGAGGCACATAAGTAGCCTCGACCTGGGGTGGAACCTAAGGGAGCATTAGGGATGCACAGGTAGCCCATTGGTCTTAGTTTGGCACCAGAGGTAATTCCTGAGGGTAGGGGGAGATAGGAGCTCCCTGGCTTAACTGGCTACAGTATCCGGCCTGGGCCAGCAACCCTTCCAGTGATAATGATCAGGAGTATTTTATTCATAAGCCTTTTGAAATACAACTGCTAAAAAATCTTAAACAAAGTGTGGTTAATAATGGAGTCCAAAGTCCATATACTGTGGGATGCTTACAAAATGTTTTGGATACATATCAATTGACACCTTGTGATACTAAGTATTTGGCACAAACATGCCTGTCTCCTGCTCAATTCCTTCATTTTGATGTAAAGCTAAAAACTTTTTTCTCGGAGCAGGCTCATAGAAATAGAACCAGTCCCAATCCACATCTAGCAATAAATGAGAAAATGCTTTCTGGGACAGGAATATATGCACCACTGCAGGAACAGATTTGATGTCCTAACAAGCTATTTCCACAATTGGCAGATCTAGTAAAAAAGGCATGGACAGCAATTCCAGAGGATGGGTTTCCAGTAATGTCCTTTTTACATATTCTGCAAGGACCCCAGAAACCCTTCGCTCAATTTGTGGCAAAATTACAAGAAGCTGTTTGCAGACAGGTATCAAGCACAGAAGCTGTGAATATTCTAACTTTAAAATTAGCATATGAAAATGCTAATCAGGATTGTAAACAGGCTTTAAATCCTGTAGTGTCAACTAATGATTTAACAACGATTTGAGCATGTGAGGATATCAGAACTGAGTCTTATATGACAACTATGATGGTTCAGGTTATGGCTAGTCTTTCCAATATAAAGAGGAGTAATGTAAAATGTTTTGATTGTGGAAAGATGGGACATTCTAGAAAAAAATTGCAGAGCTCTTGATAGATCTAAAAGGACAGATGTTGAGGCTCTAGCACATCAAGAGCAAGATGCCTCTGGCAAGCAGGACTAAGATTCCATGCCTGGACTCTGTCCAAGATGCCAGAGAGGGAGGCATTGGGCCAAATATTGTCATACAAAATTCCATAAAGATGGAATGCTGTTGCCAAAAAACCTGACAAGGGCCTTTCCTCAGGTCAACAAAATAATAGAAGAAGCACAACCTGTGAGTCAAAATCTCAGTCAGTTTTACCCAGTGCAAACTTGCCAGTAAACTCCCATATAACATCAAAGGTGGCTCCCCAGAGAGGTCTTAACTCACCAAAGGGATAAACCAGAGCCTGGGATTAGATCCCCATGCTGCTTGCAGAGTCATTCTTATTGGAGATGACAAACCCACCCCAATTCCCACAGGAATTTGGGGTCCTCTACCTAAAGGAACAGTTAGTCTTGTGCTGGGAAAGGCTGATCTAAATTTAAAAGAAACAACTATTGTGCCTTGTGTGACTGATGGTGACTGAAGAGATGAAATACAAGTTCTTGCATGTGCTATGGATTTCTGGATTTTTGGACAGGGAGACTTTGTAGCACAGTTAATTTTGTTACCTATTAAAGAAGGCTTTTTTTGTTAAGTATAGACAGCTCAGGAGGGAGAAAGACCCTCAGAGCCAAACTACAAAAAGAGAAATTTATTTTACACAGGAAGTGACTAAAAACAGGCCTATGTGTTTTATAGAAATTAATGGGAAATATCTTGAGGGTCTGATGGACACTGGTGCGGATGTGTCTGTAACTGCATTAGAAAAATGGCCTGCCATGTGGCAGACAAAAAAGGCCCCCGCCTCCCTTATTGGACTGGGGACCCCTCAGCACATTTCATAGAGTGCCTCATCTTTGCTTTATGAGGGACCTGACCAACAAAAGGGTTCTTTTTCTAACCTTATGTGTCACCTATTCCAGTTAACTTGTGGGGAAGAGATTTATTACAGAAGTGGAAATTAGTGCTGACTAGTGATTCTGACTTTAAAGCTGAACAAACGAATTCCAATTTGAAAACTGAACAGATATATTCAAATCCTAAAATTAAGAGCTGGGCATGGTGGCTCATGCCTGTAATCCCAGCACTCTGGAGGCTGAGACCAGTCTGGGCTACAAAATGAGCTCAAGGCCAGCCTGAACTGCATAGTGAGACCCTGTCTCAAAAAGACAAAAAAAAAAAAAAAAGAAAATGATGATTAAAATGGGACAACAAGAAGACGAAGGATTAGGAAAAAAATTACAGGGAATCTAAGGGCCTGTTAAGATTACACCTAAAGATGGCAGGCAGGGTATTGGATATCAACAGGTTTTTTATTAATTTATTTATTTGTCTTTTTTTTCATTTTTATAGGTACCAGGAATCAAACTGATGACT